GAGGCAAATTAGCAATGATATATCTGATTCATTCTACGATCCCTTCTAAAACGAGATTTGTTTTGCCCGAACTTGTACATACATAATTGTCAGTTTATACAATACTTTATATGCATGACGTTCTTATAAGTACCCTGAATCGCCTAGAAATGNTTTAATGTAACTCTGTGAAACATTGCCTTTTAGATATTTGAATTTGTATTTATGTATGAGGCAAATTAGCAATGATATATCTGATTCATTCTACGATCCCTTCTAAAACGAGATTTGTTTTGCCCGAACTTGTACATACATAATTGTCAGTTTATACAATACTTTATATGCATGACGTTCTTATAAGTACCCTGAATCGTCTAGAAATGTATGGATGCTATGAAGAAGGTTGCGAGTTAATGCTGTGCTGGTCTCTGCACTAATCAATTAATAGCGATCTATATCACGTGCATGGGCGGCGTTCGTACTGACCACATTGGTTGGCGACATACTTAACATTTGATATGTACAAATTGACCTACAAAATTATTCGGCTTTGTATTGAGTGATATGTTTTCGGACGCTAATATACTCAATTTAAGGGGACGTCGGAATTTTTTATATTAGTTATAGCATATACGAGTACGCCTAATCTTAGAAACTGAATATTAATAAGTATAATATTTAATCATGTAACGTACTAAACGTTCTAAAATCAATAGTCTCCAAGCCAGGATTGTCCTCACAAATGGGTGCTGGAGTATTTCCAGATGAGATCAAGTACATTCAGGCTTGAATGCCAAATATTTTTAGCAAAAATACCGGCTCAAACCAAGCGACGAAACCGACCGAGGGCACATAGATTCATAATATTTGAATAGACCTATAATGCGATCCCTATGGTACTTTTTTATTCATTTTTTTATTGCTTAGATTGGTGAACGAGCTCACAGCCAACTTGGTTGTTAAGTGATTACTGAAGCCCATAGAAATCTACAACGTAAATGCGCCACCCACTTTGAGATATAAGTTCTAAGGTCTCAGTATAGTTACAACGGCTGCCCCACCCTTCAAACCGAAACGCATTACTGCTTCACGGCAGAAATAGGCAGAGTGGTGGGACCTACCCGTGCGGACTTACAAGAGGTCCCACCACCAGTAAAACGTAATTGTCTAAACGTAATAATGATCATAGACGTAACACGTTTTTCTTGTGAATCACTCACAATAAGATTTACATTCTGAGAAACGACTCACCAATTAACAAATCTATTTTTGAACCTCTTGGTTTACTCAGCAATTTGTGTTTTGGCCTAACAGACGTGTTTTATTTTTAAAAATATGTGCTTATACGAGCGTATAAATTATGGTCCTGGTTCTTTATATGCAGTACGTTCACCTTCTTTGTGTTTTTAATGCATTACTTTCGCGAAATCGTTGTATTATTGCTTATTTTGTTAAAAAATGCTCAAATTAAATTTTATCGTCATTGATATTAATATAGGAATATTTTTCTTCATTATCACATTAGAATTATAATTATTTAAACACTTATATCCGTCATTCCATTATACAGTATAAAACTAAAGAGGAATTTAAAGGGATATCAAGTGATTCAATTTTATTACTGTTCAAACAACGCGGAATCATTTGTCGCTTGAATTTTAATTGAATTCTTGGTTCTTCGATAACTGTCCTTCAATGCTTTGTGCTATATTAAATTATTGGTGGTCGGTATGACTTGCTTCCTTATTTCAATTAAAGTCCCACTTTATCGGAGTATATTATGATGTCCAACACTGGAAATTATTTTTGTCTTGCAAATCCTTTGTTTGTTGTATATTCAGGTGAAGTCTTGGTTCGTAAACACATGTCACTCGTTGTCGTTTGAAAATTAGGAAGTGCAAACAAGAATCTTGCGGATTTGTTTAATGTAATAAATCACATTGTCGGAGAAGTTTGCGTTGTAAACTGAGATGAAGGTCGCGCACCCCGTGCTCTACCGTAATCAGCAAACAGACGTTTGTCACAGAACGACCTGGTAAATTTGATCCACTCGAACGGAAGAACCCTATTGTGAAGTAGGTTACGCCAAGGTCACGTAGCTCTTACTGTAAGACCGTGGATCGCATGCTCGAACATAAAGTGTAGGGGATCATCCTTTGTATCGTCAAAAGCTTTGATGTTAAATAATAATATATAATGGATGTTTTAGTTATTTTTGAATTAAACAATCTTTTGTTACGAAAATAATATGTTAATTTATTTTAGTAATACTAAAATACAAAACTGGTGTACATATTTACATCGGTATCCTTTTTTCAATTGTCAAATATCACACAAATTACTGATTACATTTTCAAAGTACACAAATTACTGATCTTTATCTTTAATAAGTTATTTATCAATTCCTTGACATAATTTAGGATAGTGCGCTAATTTTATCTGTTAAATTGGTCCGTATTTGATAATTAAGAAGCCGTTTATTAATGAAAATATGCTTACGTGGATAAACCATATATTCTGTGTTGTGTACTTCTATGCATCTGATACTGCGATAAACTATTATTCTTCTAAAAGCTATTATTATTCATAATTTAAAAAAAATCCGCTAACATATTAAGTTTTGTTTTAAGTACAAGTAATATATAAAATTAATAATATATTGACGTTTTGTTGGTTGTTCTTTGTCCATATTATTATATGTGTTGTTGTCTGTGTGTTGAATAGGTTCGCAGATAGTTTAAGTCAATTATTATATAGTTTTGAGTGAATTGGTTACGATTGATCGATCAGTAACATTATAAGTAACTTTTAACTTTACGTTTTGTCATCTAAAGGCTAGCAGGCACGTGCATTTCTATTCTAATTATATTTAGATTATCGGTCGGCCTCTTAGTGTCAACCGTAGTTTGTATTGGATTAATTGATTTCACTTTAATATCATTCTCATCATAAGTAAGTAATCATGAATTGTATTAGTAAACATTTGAAAAGCTTTTTCAATGAAAACTTGTTTATCGAACATAAATGAATGTAAGGAATTTATGAGATACTTAAGAGCGCTGGTATCTGGTCTAGATCATTTGTAATCGACTAATAATTATAAACAAAATGATTACCTACTTTGTTTGCTGTTTGTTTACGTTAAATCTACAGATGAGCAAATAATTATTTTGTAATTCTGGTTCGATAATTGTTAATGGTTAAGGCATAAAATATGTAGTTCTAGAAAAGCAATAATTTAAATAGACACATATCGTAAAGTTTTATGTAGTTATTTATTTTAAAAAAAATAACCAAACTTAAATATAAATTACTTTATTTTTATTTTATTTTACGATAAGCAACACAGAACCGGCGTGCCTCTCGTTATTTTTATTTAAGCCCTAACAAGCTCTTTTCTTTTTAAATAGTTATTCCATTACCGAATCGGAATCCAGTATTGCCACCAAGAAGAATCGACAATAAACTCGGATCTTAGTAAAATAATAATAAGTCAGTAGATATCTTTATTAACGATGAATGGCACGAATTAGAAGGGGAGAGAGATAGAGATAGTCCCACCCTGTGTTTCTATGATCTGTGGTCCCACCTCAGCTCTCGCTCGGAGTCACTAGATATTCTATTTCCGGTATGTGAATGTAAATATGTTCCTGTCTCGTATGTACGTTTTTGGTAATCATAACACAGGAGATAATCCCAGCTTAAGTTTTTTATTTATTTGTTATTGCTTAGATGGATGGACGAGCTGGTTACTGGAGCCCATAGACATCTACAACGTAAATGCGCCACCCACCTCGAGATATAAGTTCTACGGTCTCAGTATAGTTACAACGGCTACCCCACCCTTCGAACAGAAACGCATTACTGCTTCACGGCGGAAATAGGCGGGGTGGTGGTACCTACCCGTGCGGACTCCCAACAGGTCCTACCACCAGTGATGAATTTGTCAGTTGTCAGTCAGTTAAGTAATAATGTTGAGCTAAATATTAGTGATAATTTTTTGTAGTGATTATTATAAAATAAACTAGCAGATTTTTTATGAGACTTGTTTACAAGGTAGTAAAATGCCTACTCAAAGGAACCACCCAAGTAGGAATAGATGATTAATCATACTCACCACGTTGTCGAGGACCTTGGATCCACAGCTCGTAATGTAAACAAAATTATTTTCAATGACTATGACCGTGAAACAGACTACCTAGCTGGAATTTGTTATGATATTAAACAAAACAAAAAAAAAATATCGACATCTATATACATATATTATAGGATTTAATTTAAGAGAATAATGTACATGACGACAAAATTGTATCACATGAGAATACTTTGAATGTGAATCTAAAAAACTTGCGCCCCGAGTTTAGAAACCTTTCCTTTTTTAAAGTTGGTTAAAAATAGATACATTAAACGAAGAAGTAATTAGTATAATGCATTTATGGTACTTAGCTGATGTATTTCGTTTCCCGTTAAAACAAACAAGTGGGTCGATACTTGAACTGGAAATGGGAAAATTTCCAAAGTCGTTTTGCTTCAGTAAGGATCATTTTATTATGAACAATTAGAGAGTTTACGATTGACGACAATAAAGCAAACGTTTATACGTGCAATAATAAGTGAACAAGAATGATGTAATGTATTAAAATTAATGTATCTACGTACCCACCGTGAATTATGTTGATGCGAAGTATGGGAATTGTATTGCGTTTTTAAATATGACAACATGTTGACTATTTTGTTATTGTGGTATTCATTTCATTTGGTATTATTGTGTCGAAAAACCATAGAAAATTTTATTTTATTTAAAAAAAACATAACTATGTTGTTATTGTAACAGAAATATAATGAATTGTTGACAGCCTATAATTATATGATAATCCGATCTAAGATTAAAAATCAATTAAAATCTAATGATTTGAGTCGTTAATGACAATTCAATAAATTCAATCACGTAATTGGTGTTATTTTAATCCAATTGAGACGGTATACATAATTTGCTGTAACCTTGAAATGTCTTGTTTTAGACGGAAAGCGAAACCTCATGTGAAGAGGCAGCAAGACTGACAGCGGAAGGAGCGGAAGCTGACGACGATGAGGCCTTCGACTTTACAGCCCTGCCCCCACCGCCGGACGGAGGCTACGGCTGGGTCGTGGTCTTCGCTTCCTTCATGTGCAATATGGTAGTTGACGGCATAGCCTATACCTTTGGCATATTCCTGCCGGAATTGGTGGTGTACTTTGGCCAGGGCAAAGGGACAGTCGCATGGGTCGGCAGTTTGCTGACCGGTATTTATTTAGCCGTTGGTAAGTGTTACTTTATTTACATTTCGTCACAAATAAAATTGCGTGATTCGAATAAAAGTTTTTTTTTTATTGCTTAGCTGGGTGGACGTGCTCACAGCCCACCTGGTGTTAAGTGGTTTCTGGAGCCCATGGACATCTACAACGTAAATGCGCCACCCACCTTGAGATATAAGTTCTAAGGTCTCAAGTATAGCTGCAACGGCTGCCTCGCCCTTCAAACCGAAACGCATTACTGCTTCACGGCAGAAATAGGCAGGGTGGAAAAGTTTCAGAAAGAGAAAGAAAAAAAAGGACTTCTCATTTCAATTGCAATCGGATTCGATTAAAAGTCTTTCTCGTTTATTCCGAGCGTAGCTACGTGTTTTCCAATCTAAACGATCCGCCGAGTTACGATTCATTTTTGTTCCTGTTTCGATGTGTTCATTAGTGGTACTCAACTGTCAATTTCGTATCAAAACAGGTCACGTTGTCGGACAGTTGTTTCCATAATACATGTATGTATATATATATATATTACTCGTTCTAGTGAGATAAATGAAATCGTTTGTGTGTACTCGTTGTGTATGTAGTTATATATGTATATGTAGGTATATATGTATTTATGCTTATAATCATACAGAACGCCCCATTCAATTCTAATACCGACATGTTTTCTCAAACAGAGTGGCGTTCAAGTAACTAGTAGCCATTGTGTTTTAGATATGGATAGGAAATCTATTATAATTCTAAATATATTAATATGTGTCGTGAATACGTTTGGTTTATAGTGAATAACGGTTTCTTAATAAATTAGATCAGTAAATATCGAGGGGTGAAAGGCTATTTGGTTTAAGCGATGTTTTAGCCACTTTACAGGAGAGCCATTTAAAGTTTAAAATTTTGGAAAAAATATTACTACAAAATAACTTATTTAGCTGCTTCATTAGAGTAAACTTAATTTCAATTCAATTAAAAACATTGAACTGTCGATAGTAATACCAAATGAAAAGGGCCCTTAATAACGAAGATAAATGTCGGGTACCAACCGAAATGTCGCTTAACTGGTGATAGGACCTCTTGTGAGTCCGCGCGTGTAGCTACCACCGCCCTGCCTATTTCTGCCGTGAAGCACTGGTTGTAGGAGCTCTTGTGAGTCCGCGCGGGTAGGTACCACCGCCCTGCCTATTTCTGCCGTGAAGCAGTAATGCGTTTCGGTTTGAAGGGCGGGGCAGCCGTTGTAACTATACCGAGACCTTAGAACTTATATCTCAAGGTGGGTGGCGCATTTACGTTGTAGATGTCTATGGGCTCCAGTAACCACTTAACACCAGGTGGGCTGTGAGCTCGTCCAACCATCTAAGCAAAAAAAATATCCTTTCACCCTTCGATATTATAAGTTAATCCACTTTCACACTCACTTTTAATGTCATTCTCGAGTGTGAAGTACATGTTGTTTATCGTTCTTAACTTATCGGTTAACGATAAGTAAATCCTCGGTTAATACTTTTGATAATAGACAGGATTCTATCTATATTGGTAACCGTGTCGTAAATAAGACGGCAAAGTGATTGTATCAGTTATTAATCTTAGCGTATGTAATGGACGTTTCTACGAGTCTGATCTTGATTGGCTATAAGCTTATTGTTATCTAATTAATCTAATGGACAAATCAATGAAAGTAGAGTTAGTAGTTATTAGATGTGAATTTAAAATAACCTTAACAAAAGTAACTGGTGGTAGGACCTCTTGTGAGTCCGCACGGGTAGGTACCACCGCCCCGCCTATTTCTGCCGTGAAGCAGTAATGCGTTTCGGTTGGAAGGGTGGGGCAGCCGTTGTAACTATACTGAGACCTTAGAACTTAAATTTCAAGGTGAATGACGCATTTACGTTGTAGATGTCTATGGGCTCCAGTAACCATTTAACACCAGGCCAGGTGGGCTGTGAGCTCGTCCACACATCTAAGCAATAAAAAAAATTAAAAAAACAAGTCTTCGACTTGGTGTAATTAATTCGATAACACAATAACGTGATGTTTATCTAATACTTAAGGGCTATCGTGTTTTTATCTGCCTGAGAACGTTTCAGGTGCGATATTGACCTTATTAAAGTATTTTACAATCGCCAATATGTAAGTTGTTACCACGTTCTGTATTAACGATAAGCTAGCACTGAAATCGGTGCGAAATGTTAGATCTTTTCAATGATAATGTTACAACTGTTGTAATCGAATATTAGTTTGATGAATAATATTATTGTAACGAAGCAAACGTAACCTCAATTCAACTGTTTTCAAAAATATAGGTACATGAAGACAGTAGGTAGGTTGGTGTTACTAACGCAGTGGTAATTTCAAAGATGTATGTAGTATAATTTCACATAGGATACTAGCTGACCCGGCAAACATTGTTTTGCCATACAAATTATTTTTAGGAACGATAAATAACTTAGATACCGACTGCAGCGCCCTCTGCCGGGCTGATTTGTGAATCTAAACCATCCAGGGAGCCACCCAAACGCATACAAAAAAAATCATTAAAATCGGTCCAGCTGTTAGAAGGAGCTCAGTGACAAAGACACGCACAGAAGAAATATATATATAAAGACTAGCTGACCCGGCAGACTTCGTAGTGCCTCAATCGATAAATAAAAGATCTAAACTTTTGTATAAAATAAACTTAAAACAAACAAAAGGAATCATTCCGACGGGGGGGGGACCAATCAAAGGGAAAACAAAATTGTTATTTTTATTATAACTTTTAAACCTTCTCTGGACTTCCACAAATAATTCAAGACCAAAAATAGCCAAATCGGTCCAGCCGTTTTCGAGTTTTAGCGAGACTAACGAACAGCAATTCATTTTTATATATGTATATAGATAGATGAGGCAAGGAATATCGTTCAAGTGATTTATTATCAGTGAAAAACTCGACACAGTAACCCGAACGTTCATTAACACATTAACTTACAAACGAATTCAAATTAACATCGATTACAGTAGTATATCTGCATGAAGCCAACACAGTAAATAGGTTTTTTTGACACAAATTCCATTGTTTACAATGTTAGTTTTTCAATACGTAACGAATTTTTAAAAAAATAATGTACGAGTCATTTATACACGCACATGTGCCCGTTTGTTTGAGGATTACTGGTAGTCCGAAGGCCTTTGCAGTTTTACCCAGGACAGTTAGGCGAGCACGTGCTCAACCATGAGGGATATAAAGTAGGTCTGAATATGACAAACGGGTTTCATTACTTTTAATTAATTTAACGGATGTGAAACGTACGGCAGATAACATTCCTGACATTAAATGATTATATGAGTAATCCTTTTAGTATTATTATCATAGAATATAATACTACTTTATTTAAAACTACTAAAAGGATGTATTCATATTATTAACTGTTGAATAAACCTTGAACTGAATCACAAACAAGTAAATGTTACATCCGATCATCGAGACAAGTTTTGAAATCTAGGTTTTCGAACCAAGGTGGGCATCGCAATTTACTAATAATGATCGTTCGGCACGTTATTACAAGACGTTCAAGAAAAATTACTTAATGTCTAACTAAGCGCACTTAGCTGCAGAAACATTTATTATTATTTTAACCGACTTTATAAGAAGGAGTGGCTGTATGTTCGATTGTATTGTTAAAATTTCTTTATGTATGTTCACCGGTTTTTCAGTCGTTTGTGGACTGAAATAGACATCATAACGGTTGTTCCGCGCTTCAAAACCGGAACACGTGATTACTTCGCGGCTGAAATAGGCAGGGAGGTGGTACCTATCTACTCGCGTGGGGTTATAACGTGCCCTACCGTAAATACATACATACATTACATTACAGTACATATCTTAAGTATGGGTTTTGCGAGTTTGATTTTTATTACACGATCTTAATATTTTATTGTGGAAGTCAGTCTTGAACATTTATTGAGTGTGTATTTCATTAGAAAATTGGTGCCTACTTTGCAGATTTGGCCATCGGTATAGCCTTGTCCTTCTTCATAAGTAGATATATTTTTGAGCACATCAATCCAATTGATTTTAAGTTGTTACCAAAAATCCTAAACAACAACGTGACCATTCGACTACATGCTTGAAGGCTTCATTTTGGAACAAAAATAAATTAATTAAAAATGGCATACGTGAAAAATGGATTCCATTATGGAATATGCTAAAATGAAACGACTAATTTTACAATAAATTATTTTTACCGATAAGAATTGTTTTTCATTTGAACAATGATATAATGGGTACTATATTTGTATAATTATAATTTTTGCAACGCTTGATAATTTATTGTATGGGACAAAGGAAAACATTCAGAGTCGACATGAATCATGGCAAATAAATAAAGTTTCATTCGTGATATGCTCTTTGTTTTCATTACAAACACGTATGTCATTTTAAGTTTCATAATGGATTTTTTTCTCCTTTATAGTCGTCATCATCTTCAATAGATACCCTAACCTAATAAAACTGAAATGCAAGATTGATTCGCGGTAGAAATAAGGACGGTGGTATCTATCCGTGTCCGTGTGGAAATGCACGCTATTCCACTAGTAATCACGCCAATTTATAAATATCGCTCTTTTATAAACAATGTACTATTGATTTGTTATCAATCTACTTTCCCTTAAACTACATACCCGATCCTGCGGATCGAATGGTAAACAGTCGACTTCGCTCTAAGCACGTCATTTCCACTGACGGTGCTTTTAGGTAACAACCGTCCGACAATTTGGTAACAACCGAATCCATTGTTTGCAACGAAGAGTAAATGAAACCACAGACACAGCCCGCTGATTTTCTCGCCGGTTTTGCTCAGTGGGTCGCGTTTCTGATCCGGTAGTAGATTCTGCCAAGCACTGCTCTTGCTAGGGCTAGTGTTAGCAACGTTCTCTGGTTAGAGCCCCGTGAGCTCACCTACTCGCTCGACTACGCTGGCATAACCCTCTAAGCATAGGTAGGAAAAATAGTTACTTTTCCTGTTTGTCTCACGTCGCCGTGGCATAATTATTGAGGTTACAAATCGAACAACCATTTTCCCGTAGGCTGTGAACACGGTTTCAATCGCTCGTTCTAATTGCAATTTAGACTGTCAAAATAAAACATTAAAACATAATATTGTTATTATTTCATTTCTCTTAAAGAACATCTATATATTAATACGTGAAGCAAAAACTTTGTATCCCTTTTTACGAAAATTGCGCGGATGGAGGAGTATGAAATTTTCCACACTTATAGAGAATATAGAGAAGAAGTGCACAATGCTAATATTTTTTTTAAATAATACATAAAAGATACATTAAATCAATAAAGAAAACATTACACACACTACATACCATGTATTTGACGCACACACGCATGCATACTATTTATTGTCAAACTTTTGTTCTTGACATCTGTTGTCAAATTGAGAATAGATTAAATATTGTTAATATTTTTTATAGAGTAGTCTTGGCGAAATTTGTGATTATAGAAGTATAAAATACAATCATAATAGTGTACAAACTTACAATTCCAATTAATTATAGCCGAATTTCGACTACTGCGGGACCTCTAGTATTCACAAATTGCCATCATAACATATTTTGATCGTTCATACCGTCCTCACTAACCGTTGTTTTTTGTTTTCCTACCTATTCGCTGGTAGCCTAAGGGGCTATTCCAACTACGTCCGCTACAGGACACTAACTAAAAAAAACTAGGATAATGTTAATTCAAGAATTGTTTCCTTTGATTTCGTTATTAAAATGTCCAGTCCATTATGAGTTTTGTCTCTATCAATTAGTCACGTTAATTTTTCTTGTCCCTCAGGTCCGATTGTGTCGGCGTTATGCAACAAATATGGTTGTCGAGCGGTTTGCATCGTGGGCTCCCTAATCGCTACTGCTGCATTCATAGCTTCAACGTTCAGCAAGAGCGTTCCTATGATGATGTTGACGTACGGACTCATCGGTGGTAAGTTCTTATATGAGTTTATTCCAAAATTAGGCACGAAGTCGGAACGGCCTTAATCAATGGTGCATTTTGTTTGTTTTTTTTTATTGCTTAGATGGGTGGACGAGCTCACAGCCCACCTGGTGTTAAGTGGTTACTGGAGCCAATAGACATATATAACGTAACCACCCACCTTGAGATGTAAGTTTTAAGGTCTCAAGTCATAGTTGTTACAATGGCTGCCCCACCCTTCAAATCGAAACGCATTACTGCTTCGCGGCAGAAATAGGCGGGGCGGTGGTACCTACCCGTGCGAACTCACAAGAGGTCCTACCACCAGTAATTACGCAAATTATAATTTTGCGGGTTTGATTTTTATTACACGATGTTATTCCTTCACCGTGGAAGTCAATCGTGAACATCTGTTGAGTACGTATTGCATTAGAAAAATTGGTACCTGCGTCGGATTCGTACACCGGTGCATCGATCAACACGAATGCACCGGACGTCTTATCCATTAGGCCACGACAACTTCTTTTGCGTTTGGCATTTTGGTTACGCGAAAGCGCCACCTTGCATTTACAAGGTGCGAGTTAAACCACCAATTCAGAAAAATCTTTTGTTGTCTCGAAAATATAAATAACGTGTCCGTATGTACTTTGTTCAACAAAATTAAATATTTGTTAGGTTGTTTCTGCGATCAACAGTATTATTAAAGATTCCGAGAATCGTTTTGTCTGGGTTGTTTTCGTCTTTAACGTTTCTTAAATGTATAAAATTGCTGACATCATTCTGCGACTTAAATTTATCGAGACGTTGAATGGAAATCGATTCACATCTTTTTTCATTCATAAAGCAATAGATTCATGTTTGTAATGTTGAAATATTCACACAATTTGTAATCTTCGTGTGTCGTGTCGTGCTAAATATATTTCATGCATCACGTTCTATCAAAATAAACATTAAAAATCAATTTCGAATAAACTGAATTAGTTTCTCCCGAAATTTCGGCGCTGTAAATACCTTCATGGATGTTTATGAAATTTCGAGTAAGGATAATTATAGGTGTCAAGACTGAGAAAGCCTATATTCACAAAGAAAGAAAAAATAATCCCTACACTTAAAAAAAATTATAAATGTACAACATACCTGCTATATTTTTATTTTATATTTTCCAGAATTTCTGTAAATTAAACGGTTGTCTGGAAGAAATCGCTTTTAGCGATTAGACCGCCTATTGTACAAATGTATCTATCTGCTTTTTGATTGTTTTTTGAATGTAAATTGTGTTTTGGTGTACAATAAAGTGTATTCTCTTTCTCTCTCTATGTAAATGCGAGGATATTTCAAATTTTGTAATTATTTATAATATTATAATAAATTCTAATAAAATAATATTTTATAGGGTTTTTGCGAGTCTTAAAATGAGCTTGTATGAGTATTGAGTAATGAGCTTGTATTGTAAAATGAGTACTTGCTAGAGTTTAATCTGGGGTTGATATCAGTCATGAACAATTTACCTAAGTCTCAAATATAAACCGAAATCTGCAAATTAATCGCGAGATTGAGCCGTAAAAGTGTGTTTAGTCTGTAAACATGTCGTGGTTGTTCTTTGCACAGAAAATTGAATCTTTATATAGGCCAGCTTCAAAAAGAACAAGCAAGGTTAATTTGAGGCTTAGATTATTTTATATGTTTGTAACACGGATGCTATACTTTTTAAGCCAGATAATACTGGTCTGGTAGAATAGACTGTAGTTTTCATCAGAGAATATATATACACGACTATTCGATGTGAGCGCCCTTCTAGTTGTTTGTACTACCTTAATCCGACAGTGTCCGTAGCAGAGCTTTTCCTTGATCTAAGCATCAGCCCGCTGAGTTTCTCGCCGGATCTTCTCATCGGGTCACGATTCCGATTCGGTAGTAGATTCATTCGCGAAGCAGTTACTCATAAGTTCTTAAGTCTCCATGCTGTTAGCAAATCCCACCCCTCCTGGCTGAGCCCTTGCTCGCCCACCTGTCCTGGTTAAACTGGAAAGGCCTCAGGGCCACCAATTATCCTTCCTTCACAAACAAAGCTTTAACTATCTTCCTCCATTGCGACATACTATTATTCTTCTACCTCATGATCTGTGCGCACCACCTGGTACTGGTACGAAGTAAGGAAAGGCCGTTTTAATTTTCAGCAGTCATGAAAGGTCTCTTTGCGTGTCTCGTTTTGTAAACGTCAGAGCAAAGAAATAAGAAACAATAAATTAAACGTTGATTTACGGTCGCCTTTTATACTTTCACATTGTTGCGTTCGGATAACGAACCAAATGGCATTTTTTACTTTGATTCACGAAATATAAAACTGAAAATTTCATATTTTTAGTGTATTAAATACTTCAAGAACGCATGTTTAATGGTTTTGGCAAGACCATCGTTGCACCTGCTTGAGCATTTAAACTTTTTTTTATTTTTTTTATTGCTTAGATGGGTGGACGAGCTCACAGCCCACCTGGTGATAAGTGTTTACTGGAGCCCATAGACATCCACAACGTAAATGCGCCACCCACCTTGAGACACAAGTTCTAAGGTCTCCAGTATAGTAACGACGGCTGCCCCACCCTTCAAACCGAAACGCATTACTGCTTCACGGCAGAAATAGGCAGGGTGGTGGTACCCACCCGCGCGGACTCACAAGAGGTCCTACCACCAGTTTAAAAACTCAATAATAACCATCAAACTGTGATGGTTATTCGTCTTGAAAACATATTTTTCAAATAATTTAGTCTAAGAACGAACCACATATGTATATTCTGTAACTACACCACAACTGATTCCTGAGTCAACTTTCTAAAGTTATAAAATTCAAGTGCCATTGCTACATAATTCGAGGTTTTGCAACCTTGGCATATTGGCACAAATACACCATGGCGACGGGTTGGCGCGTCCTTCCGAGTCCCATAAAACTAGGGTTGCTTTATGTGTTTCGCTTGATGTATTTAATATGCTCAAGGTATAAATGAATTTTTAGGTCCTAAGCTGCGTCCAGCCCACTGAGTTTCTCGTCGGATCTTCTCAGTGGGTCGGGTCGCGTTTCCGATCCGGTGGTAGATTCTGCGAAGCACTGCTCTTTCTTGCTAGGGTTAGTCTTAGCATCACTCCGGCTTGAACCCCGTGAGCTTGCCTACTAGTTAAGGTTACGCTGCAATAGCCTCTCAAGGCTATCAGCTTAGGTAAAAAAAAAGGTGCGTTGGAAAAAAAAAACGATCCGATAGGTTTGTCGTTCGCATGTCAACTTCAAATAATGTCTCGTATTTCAACGACAGAACTTCCAAAAAAATGTTGATTCCTCTGAGATAATGTATTCCAATAAAGTTTAAATAAACTGAAATTATTGAAAGAAAATCACTTCATGTCCCAATAGTTTAAATAAATATATTGTAGTCTGCAACCCTGGATGGGTATCGTTTAGAGGACGCTCTGACGTGGTTTGACTAATTTGGCTCGTGGTTTTGTGAAAACGATTGTATAACTGTGTAAAAATATTTTATGATTATAACAATGAGATGTCGCTTACTGTGTTCGAAATATAAATAACACAAAGCCCTCTTTGTAGCATTGTAATCCGTTGTAATATCCTCAATGTACTTTTCGCTGTCTTACGTCAAAAAGATAAGTCAATGAGAACTTATCAAGATTTGCAGTTATTAAATATGTAATCTATCATTTTAAAGTATTACAAAATTGTTTAAATACCTGCAGATACAACAAGCTGTTGACATATTTATAAGCAGGAAATCGTTAATTAAAGACAATAATCCTAAAATATCCTCTCTACATCGTTTGAAATTTTCCATGACATGATAGATGACAAATTGACGCCCGATTTATAACATTCATATCATTAGTATTATCTGTAAAGAAAAGCGTGTATTAATAGAATATTTTATGAGTGTTCCTTTCTAATAACGTGTATTTTGTAAAATCACAGCTGCCACGTTTTAATTACGAGTTAATAATTTAATTACTTAATCGAAACATTATCTTTATGAAACCCTTACGAAATAGATTAATAAAATAATATTTAATAATATATATATTAAATAAAAAAAAAATTCTTAGTTCGTTGCCTCAAAGTGCGTCGGACTAATGTTTATATGCAAATATTTGAAACAAAAATGTTTGCTCTTTGGACTCCTTAATTTCCGACATTTCAGACATTAGTGAGTGAATTATCACTACATGATTTGCGGTTTTATCGTTTATTTATTTTATCTCTTCTTTAGAAGTGAAAATATCATAAAATAAATACATGCCTACGTAATTATTTTCAATGAATGAGTAATTTCGTACTCAGAGGAAGAAATAAACCAGACCTAAAAACAAATTTTGTATTATATAGGAATACTCCTATATTAATTTTATAATAGGACCTATGATATTGTCCTTTTACAATATTGATCATTTGAAACGTAACTTACACATTACATATACATAAATATGACTGGCAATAAATTTTAAATTCAAATTCAGTAGTCAACGAAGTCAACAACGACGAATCAAAAGCGGATAGTGAAAACTAACGATACTCAATACGTGACATAAAAATGTCATTTCAACAACTAGATAGAGAAGCATTTTGAAAATTATTGAATGTAAGGTTAGCATTACTTTTTGTTTTGCGGATCCTTCACACAATTAAATAAGTTTTAACTTAATAAAATTAGTACATGTAAAAATGTGCTTTCTACTAGTGCAACACCTTTGCAATAAACTGACTGTTCTGTATATCAAAGGGTAAACTGATACTTCATTAAATTAATTGGTACATATGACCACGTCCATTACAAAAGCGACAACTTTAAATTAATTGATCTCATGGGAACGCATGAAGGTTAATGGCACAATATCAATCTTCCTTACAATACTTATTCTTTATCCGACTAGAAATTTTACAATACGAATTTCTTTAGTTTTGGGTCGAAGTCAAATAGCCTCATAGTTTTCCGTAAACATTCTAGGTCACAACTTAGCCTCTTTTTGACATAAAATAACTTGCTCCAACCAATGAAATGCATACCCTACTGACCCTTGTGAAATAACAGCGTTTTAAATGCCAAGTATATAGTGTTATAACGTTATTTTTCCTGTAGAGCCCTTGAGAATGGCGGCAACAAGCCGGCTGTGAAGTTGGACATGTGCCAACGTGCACGCTGTTTTCTAAACGACAGAAATATCACAACTGTTCTGTATACTTAGGTCCTTTTGCTGATGGGATCGTGAAATTGCAACTGAATTTTCCATTTCATGAATGCAGTACTCAATCTGCCGACTCCGTGAATAGTTGATTAGCATTGGACTTTTAGTATCATATAAAAGAATCTTGGGAAATCAATGATTTTCCTTTGTTTTTTATTTGAATTTTATTTAAAATCGTTTCCTTTTTTTTTCTTGCCCAAAATAATTCAAAAACATTACGTCACAGTTCACCTAGTATTATTTGTCTGTTTGAAGGTCAGTAAGACAGTAAGTACGATTGGCTCAATGCCAATTACAGCAGACGATATGGCGCCATAATGGGGATACTGGCAGCTCAATAATAATTGTAAATTAACTGAACCCAATTCTATTCTGTAATAAAATAATACTAATCGCGTTTGATTCAAAATCTCATAGACATCCAGGACGCATACATCGACTCGTTTCTCATTAAATTGACCCAATTCGTGCAAACAATCTTGATTTCGTAGAAGGAAAACATGGTTTTAATATAATCGTCACATACACGTTAAGGACATCCGTCTCCGAGCATTCTCACTTTCAATAGTTATAGACTTAATTTATTGGCGTGTTGATTCGAATTAAGAGATCGTGATGAGATGAAGAATATTTCCTGGATCGTATGTAATAAGCGACGCCTCTATTTTGTGTTATTCTGAGTTGGCACGGTAACGACATTTAGTGTTAAATCACTTTATTTCAATGTCACGTTCATTATTTCGTTTAAAGCTTATTTATAGTACTAATTAGTCTTCTATTACATTACGTCAGTTTGTGTAATTTCTGCGACATTCATTTGTATTCCATTTTGAAATAATTGTGTATGTAGCAGGATAAAATATGTACAACGGTATTTTTTTTTAATATATTTATTTACTTATAATAAAGTTATTTTCTGTAATTTATTTTATGTACAACTGATTTTATTAATTTTTTCAGAAATATTTTAATAAATACAAGTCATATGCTACGGCCATGTTTTGTGTTCAAATTAACGATCTCTGTAAACTGTGAAAAAAATGGGAAATTTAACTTGGACGCGTGACAAATAATAACGATACATTTTAACAAATCTTTCATGGAGCAATGCAGTATAAAATAATAAGTATAATAATATGTCATGTTAAGTAGGTATAGCCTACATTCAAAGTTACATACAATAAAAATTAATTCAAATAGCAAAAAATTCGCAATAAGTCAAAATGATTTTTGTCTGGAACCGAGTTGATGTTGTTATAAAATGAAATACGATATGAAAACCAGATGGTTGATATTACTCGTATAGCAACTAATCTTCAGTTAACGCGTGTGCCCGCAATTGTTTCACTATGATCGTCATTGTGTGAAATTACTTTAGACGAACTAAGGATTTAGTCCCTGGCTTAGCGCAATCTACGTCCTGCGACCTCTCACGCCGCTGCAGGGTCCCAAAGTGTATCAAGAATTTTAAAACATTAACAGAAAAAATGCACATACAAATGTGGAGATGTAATGCTTAAATCATTACGGATCCTCCCGATCCATTAACGGTGCTTTTAGGTACCACAAGCACCGGTGACCGTCCTCGTCGAACCCGTCGCTTGTGACGAAGGGCTCGACGAGCGAATTAACCCATAGACAGCCCACTGAGTTTCTCGCCGGTTCTTCTAAGTGGGTCGCGTTTCCGATCCGGTGGTAGATTCTGCGAAGCACTGCTCTTGCTAGGGTCAGTGTTAGCATCACTCCGGTTTGAGCCCCGTGAGCTCACCTACTAGTTAAGGTTACGCTGAAATAGCCTCATAAGGCTATCAGCTTAGGTAAGAAAAACAATTATGCTTAAATAGGTTTAGTCTTGCATATTGAGCTACAGCACTCCTTATTGTGCCAATCAATGACTAATTCTTTGTTGAGAAAATGGAAGTAAGTACAGGGAAATGATACGTACATTATACCTACAGTGCCGATGACCCCGCAGTGGCAGGCATCAACCCACATGCTCTTTGTTCGATTTCAAATAGCCGTTTGTGGGTCGGCTACAAACACTGAGTCACTTTATATTATCAAATTCCTATACGAATTCTGTCAATAAAACAATCCGTTTGATATAATAACATCGTACGTTCTGTATTTTACGAAATCTGGTTTATTTACACCGTTTTAACTAGTTTATCTATTGATGTATTTATCTGCGTGAAGTGTTGCGTTATGTTTTTAACGATTGCAAAGTTTTTTTCTATCAAAAAGTAAACAGAGACACTTCTCTAGTAACATTATAATAAAGTTTTAATTGTTATCCCCTGATTCAATGGTCTTGTTGATAAATCAGTTCGGCAAATGTAATGCTAGGAAAACAAATACTGCATGGTTTTTGTGGGATATTGACAAACGAAATGTCTTCAATATATGTGTTGTTGCGTATTAGGTATAATTATCATGTGATTTTAGCCAGATCTCCAGTAATTTAAAATGCTCAAATCAGAATAAAGAAATTTGCTGACGTTCAGTTTGTTTAGTTTTATTGTAGAGGAATTAATTAGGAACCTGGCCCACTGGCTACTCGCCGGATCTTCTCACTGGGTTGGGATTCGGATCCGGTGGCGGATTCTGCAAAGCACTGTTCTTGCTAGGGCTAGTGTTAGCAAAATGTTAGTTCACCTATCCGTCGGGGCGTAGCTGGAACAGTCTCTCAGGCTACGAGCGAATAGGTAGGAAAAAAAAATAGGAACCTGTCTCTTGAGGAATTAGTATTGCGTTCGACTTGTGTTCCGAGAAAATTTCTTGCTAAAGTTACTAGTACTAGTACTACTAGTTAGTAAAGCTAGTTCTATTTCTCTTCTCTTATCTCTTTCATATTTTACTTTGACTTTGTGCACTTTAATTAAAACGGTATTATATTAGCTATCTTTTTCAGTCTACAATTAGAAAATAAGTTTCCACACGAGAACCCTCTCATCGTAGCCGCCGGTAACTACATTCCCGATCCTGCGGACGGAATGGAAAGCAGTCGACGTCGCCCAAAACACGTCATTTCGGATCCTCCCGATCCACTGCCGATGACCGGTGCTTTTAGGTACCTCAAGCACCGGTCATCGTTCTCGTCGAACTCGTCGCTTGCGACGAAGGGCTCGACGAGTAAATTAACCCTCAAACACAGCCCACTGAGTTTCTCGCCGGATCTTCTCAGTGGGTCGCGTTTCCGATCCGGTGGTAGATTCTGAGAAGCACGGCTCTTGCTAGGTTTAGTGTTAGCAACGTCGTCAGGTTTGAGCCCCGTGAGCTCACCTACAAGATTAGTGAATCTAGACTACTTACGAAAAATTGTAAAGAATACAATTCTTTTCTTTTCAGGGATCGGTTTCGGTATGATCTACCTGCCGTCGGTTGTGGCAGTGGGGTATTACTTCGAAGCGCGTCGTTCGTTGGCGACCGGAATAGCGGTGTGCGGCTCGGGCGTAGGCACATTCGGGTTTTCGCCCCTCGCCACCGCTCTGCTGCACGAGTTCGGTACATGGCAGGGCGCGAACCTCCTGCTGGCCGGTCTCATATTAAACTGCGCTATATTTGGCGCTTTAATGAGACCCCTCGTTTATCCTAAGGTAAGTAATCTATACGAATATATAAATCTACAGTGGTTTTTACGGATGTTCCGTTATAACTACTGAACCGTGCGTCCGATTGACTTTAAATTTGGTATCCATGTAGAAAATACATGTACTTAATGGATAGGCTAGGAGCGTTGGACTCCCTACATCAGTTGCGGGGGCGTTAATGATGAGAATCTTTGTGGGGGTGAGAAATAATAATGTTAATTTTAAATGCCCGGCGAAGCGGACGGGTACAGCTAGTTATATTATACTTCTAAACTCTTGTATTATATCGGACGGATGAATTGGTTTAAGCGAAATTTCGTTTAATACGCGAAATTTATCTTTGTAATTTAAGGTGCGTTTTATTTGGTGTTAGAATCAATAGTTCGATGTTTTAATTGAACATCAATTAATTGTACTCTATTAAAATAGTCAGCTATTTTGCTATGATATTTTTCTCAATTATCAAACTTTAACTGGCTCTCCTGTAAAGTTGCAAAAATGTCGCTTAAACCAAATAGTTTTCATCCCTCGATATAATCATCCGTTCTAAAGCTTATTCAAGTTACCAAAAGTCTTATTCGTATACGTGTACAGTGACGTAATGTATACGTTGTATAATGGAAGAAATCTCAAAGTAGGTAATGAGACTATAGATGAAAGTGCTCACGCAGTCCTAACTCTGCGCACTACCTCTGTGCGTTGTCACAGTTAATGAGTATTCTCTTGTTAGGATCGCAGCCGAAAATTCATAGAACGATTGTACAACAACTTATTAAATATTGAAGAAAATTAACTTATTGTACTCCAAGAAAAATGACTTAGTTTATAAACTAGCATTATGTAAATGTTTTATAATAAATATTGTAATATCCGGTATGAAGAAATAACTCTGCATATTGTAATATATGTGTCCATTATGATGGAACGATTCGATTTAAATAATTATATATTCAATAAATTATACAAACACAATGCATAATAAAATGCACTAAGTAACACGTGTATTAAACTAATGCACTCCAAAGTACATAGTGTTGTGTATGTTGTTAATTATTATGCTTTATTAGCATGTGCATAATATGAAGTATTTGTTTTTGTTTAACACGTGATTAATGTTTTGTAGATTGTTACTGTCGCACGTGTTGTTACGAACTAAGTTTTGTTAATAATCTACCATTGTTTACACGACTCGATTACACTAACGACTTTAGGGCTGACCCGCTTAAACACGGTGTTAAGTTAAGTAAGTGACTAAGATATTGAAGTATGAAGTAGGCCGTATGATTTAATTTTTTCATAAAAGCAAAGACTTTGCTGGAGTCCCAGTAGATTTATTGTATTTTAACTCACAAGAATATGTATCCCAATTTTGCGTTTTAAAATAAACTTTAACTTTCATTGAAGTATCGTATCATAGTCTCATATATATCTATCAAAATGGACTATTTTCATTAACAAAAATATTAAAAAGCTGAAACTCGATCTTAAGCTTGTCTATAGTCTATAGTGTCGATACAGATAAAACAATAAATAAGAACTACCTTCAAGTATAGTATGAACCGTAATAGCAAAAATCCTTAGGATTGCACACAATTTTAACTTCACCAAGCAGACCATAATATGATATTGTTAGCGCACACACGACCAGTATGAAGCGTCTGATAAAAAAAACACGTGTGGCACTCGGGGACTGTCGCGGTAAAGCCATTGCATAGCATTTTTTATCAACTTATCCAATTATAATTAAACAATAATAATTTAATATTAAAACAATAATAAAATAAGACCACGCTATATTTATAAGCATTAACAAAAGCAAAACATTAACTGTCCTCTTCACACACAAAAGCTAGACCGCGCGAGAGAGAGATGGGCAGACTTTTCATGATGCGCATGCAGTGAGACGTCACGCCGCGCGCTTATTCACAAACACTACACAAGCGCAACGTGTGAATGTGTTCAACGCGAGCTACAGGTTAGACGGAGTGGGGTGTTAGGTTTTATTTTCGTTACGGAATTTCTTGATTCGGTCGTCGCGCTCAAAGCCCTATGCTAGCGCTATGCAATAGCTTAATAAATCCAACAAACTACAACAACAACAACGCTTCCATAACGTGACAAGTTAAATGAGCTGCTTAGAATGGTTCGTTGAAATTCGACAGACTTCAGGCGAGAAACCCCTTCTGCAACGTATGGCCGAAGAGAAGAGACTGCAGATGGAACGGGGGTCCATAGGCGGTTCGTATTTCGTGGTGCAGCTTCCCGACGGCACCATGGAGAAGAGACTAAAGGTGAGCTTGAACTTGTAGAAAACACACACACACAATTCATTTATGTAACAATTCATCAAGAGTTAATTCAGTGTTAATAATGGTACCTTATGGTTACTTAATGGTTACTATGGTCCCTAGTGTTAAGAAACATCCTTGAAAAAACAATATACGTATTGTAGAGTATTAATAAAAGCACATTTTTACTATTCACACATATCTAAAATACCTTGTGTCTGTGAACCACACAATCTGTAAATATGGGTATTTATACTTTTTTAGGGGCTAATCATGTATAATAAATAGTATTTCCACATTGCACCTTGTGTATATCATCTCAGTGCAAAATTTTCTTTCATTGCAAATGAAAGACTAAACAAAGATAGTTCGTCTTTTCAGGCCCCATTGAACATCGATCCCGGAGTACATTCGTCGTTGAACCTGGAGGCTCTGGCCCGGGTGCCCACCGTGCCCAACATGCACGGCGTGCCCACAGTGCCCACTTTGCCCACAATCACTGAGGCTAAAGTCGTCGACACTACCGACAAAAAGAAGGTAAAACTAAAATGACAAACAATCTAGTTTGAGTACCTATGTAATGATGGAAAGTCACAGATTTAAAATTTTATAGCACACTATATTACAATAAAATTATTTACTATCAACATTAGGGAACGATAAATCCACTTAACATCCAATTTCATTTATATAAATAATCACAAGTGTAGGTAAGGGTTGCTTTACATTCAATATTATGGAGGTTAGAAGTAAGAAGCACAATCTCAGTGTATTCAAAAGATTCCGCTGAAAGGGTTTCATTACGGATCCTCCCGATCCATTAACGGTGCTTTTAGGTACCTCAAGAAGCGGTCACCTTCCTCGTCGAACGCGCCGTTTGCGACGCAGGGCTCGACGAGCGAATTAATCCACAGACACAGCCCACTGAGTTTCTCGCCGGATCTTCTCAGTGGGTCGCGTTTCCGATCCGGTGGTAGATTCTGCGAAGCACTGCTCTTGCTAGGGTCAGTGTTAGCAACTCTCCGGTTTGAGCCCCGTGAGCTCACCTACAAACCTTGGGGTGAAGCTGAAATAGCCTCTCAAGGCTATCAGCATAGGTAGGAAAAAAAACCTCTACCCTCCATGTTCGACAACTAAACCCATTTGTTTAGACTATTCTAAACTAGATGGCGCTGTTATACAGAAATTTTCGGAACCTTGAAATTGACCCATTCGTCTCGTCAGCAGAACGAGAACGGGAACGTTATAGTGAACCCCGTGCAAGTGCAAATATCGCGCAACGTGTCGTCGCCCGCGTTCAGCGCGCAGGCCCCCGGGCTGCCCAAGAACGGCTCGGTCCCGTTCTTCGACAGGCAGCGCAAGCACAGCACGGGCGAGAAAGGTGCTGAAAGGTGAACGAAAATTTTGATCCTTTACATTACACCGTCAATAGCTACTTTTTTTTTTTTTTTTTTTTATTGCTTAGATGAGTGGACGAGCTCACAGCCCACCTGGTGTTAAGTGGTTACTGGAGCCCATAGACATCTACAACGTAAATGCGCCACCCACCTTGAGATATAAGTTCTAAGGTCTCAATAATAGTTACAACGGCTGCCCCACCCTTCAAACCGAAACGCATTACTGCTTCACGGCAGAAATAGGCAGGGTGGTGGTACCCACCCGTGCGGACTCACAAGAGGTCCCACCACCAGTAATTACGCAAATTATAATTTTGCGGGTTTCATTTTTATTACACGATGTTATTCCTTTACCGTGGAAATCAATCGTGAACATTTGTTGAGTACGTATTTCATTAGAAAAATTGGTACCCGCCTGCGGGATTCGAACACCGGTGCATCGCTCAACACGAATGCACCGGACTTACTTTGTTTACGGTCGGGCATTTATAGTTTTGTCTTTGTCTCTCGTCTGAAATTTCTAGTTCTGGATTGCCCATTGATACTCAGAAGCACAAAGTATCAAACGTAAATAACACTATAGGTATTGGTACAATTTAATCCTTTACATTACACCGTCAATAGTGAATTTGTTGACGGTCAGGCATTTATAGATTCGTCTTTGATTCTCGTCTGAAAGCTCCTGTTCTGGATTGCCTAATGACACTCTAAATCACATAAAGTATCAAAAACGTAATAACACTATAGGTATTGGTACAATTTAATCCTTTACATTACATCGTCAATAGTGAATTTGTTGACGGTCAGGCATTTATAGATTCGTCTTTGTTTCCCGTCTGAAAGCTCCTGTTCTGGATTGCCTAATGACACTCTAAATCACATAAAGTATCAAAAACGTAATAACACTATAGGTATTGGTACAATTTAATCCTTTACATTACATCGTCAATAGTGAATTTGTTGACGGTCAGGCATTTATAGATTCGTCTTTGTTTCTCGTCTGAAAGCTCCTGTTCTGGATTGCCTAATGACACTCAAAAGCACATAAAGTATCAAAAACGTTAATAACCTTATAGCCATTGGTTCGAATACTGACAATGATAAATTTAGCTAAAATATGTTTTAGAATAATAGTTCCATAAATAAATTAGTATATTCGATAATTAAATTAATGTATGGCAGTCGATTGCCTTATTGGTTTAATGATTAATGAGTATAACTATCTACCTTCTATAGGCTCTGTTCTCTATCGAGCTTAGTTTCTTTATTAAAGACGACGTGGCTCTATTGGGAGAGATAAAGAAATAAACACAGAGTAACATAAACACTGACTAACTTTTTTTTCTTAAAATTTGTTTTCTCTGTAGAATTAAATAATATCGAGGAGTGAAAGACTATTTATTAAGTTTACTCTACTTTTTTTTTCTGCTTAGACGAGTGGACGAGCTCACAGCCCACCTGGTTTTAAGTGGTCACTGGAGCCCATATACATCTACAACGTAAATGCCCACCTTGAGATATAAGTTCTAAGGCCTCAGTATAGTTACGTCAGTACGTACGTACACGTAGTCAGTAAATTCATATAATTGAATGGAGTGAACTTAATTGAAGTTTAATTAAAAACATCGAATTGTTGATGCTATTACCACATAAACCTGTTCTTTAATTACAAACATAAATGTCGGGTATTAAGCGAATTGTCACTTAAACCAAATAGCTTTTTTTTACTCTTCGATATGATTAGTTACCGAGAACGATTGTTAAATTGAATAAATACATTGAACAGATTCAAGCCGTCCCTAGCAGCCATCAAAGCGACTTCGAAGACCTCCGTCGGCAGTCACCGACCGACGCCAGATGTGAGTGCACGATGCGTTTCACTAAAACCGCAATGTATTCGAAACATTGGTAGCAACAACCACTGGACGTAAATTCTCGGGATCCTCCAAAAAGTCCACTGAAAAAACCTTAGTAAATGATCACCATTTTACTGAGATTATATTTCATCTCATATAATCTAATTTCATTTAATTTCATCCCAGTTGGTTAATGTCTCAAATCAATCATCTTCATTTCATTTCATTTCACTCCACATTATCATTTTTTCATAAAAATAAGAATACAAATTAAAATAAGACATGACCTAAAGGTCTTAGTTACCAGATCATAAAATCCCTTATAGAAAATAAAAAATAATCATACTTAAAAAAACAGGATTAACCTGTAGTTTAGTTTTCATTTCGTATTCTACACGCGAAAACCAATAAAAGTACTACTACTACAAAAAAAATTTATAAGTAACTTAAAGTATGTAAGTTAAATAAAATTGAAAATCATGCTTAATACGAGATGAAGTTTTTCGAAAAAAAAAAAAAACAATGGAGGCGACCTTAAAATTGCGTAACAAAAACAACAATGAATCTTGGACATTCTCGCGTAATGGAAATAGCCGAACGAATAACTATTTCGTAATCTTCCGACATTGGATGTGGTCCAAAAAGATCGACCTACTTTTCCAGCGATGGCGGTTGTCTGAATTAATTCTTCCCCAAGTTTGCACGTAACGTAAAATTGAGATAGTATCGATGCAATCGAAGGATCTTCAACACTGTGCAGATATAAATATGAATACATACTGGCAAAATTCCAATACGGATTTGTCTCAATTTTTCGGGAAACTCATGATTAACGTGTTGCGTATGAGTTGTTTTTTTTTTAAATATATAGGCCATGTCGAAAGTTTCTATTAGATTTAAATAGCATTTGAATCGATAAATTTAACTATTTGTAAAATAGCTTGCGTTAGTTTAACAACATCGCGTCAGACTTCCCAAAAACAATTATTATAAACGGGGAGTTCTGTGAGCCCAGTCGGGTACGTCCCACTGGCCTGCCTGTTTTTGCCGCGAAGCCGTCATGCTTTACGATTTACGCCGTTGTACATACAATTGGGACTTCGACCTCATGTCTTGAGGTGGTTAACGACATTCAGGTTGCAATTTCTATGGGCTCCGGCAACTACTTAATATTAGATGAGCAATCAGTTATTCGTGTACGCAAAAATAAAATTTGCGTTATTAATCTAATTATCACATGTTAACAATTAACTATTACGTCACATTTTGTTACTTATAAAACAGCTTTAAAATTTACATAACAGTAAAACAATGAAAGCTAAGTTGCTTTTAAATTTATCAATGATGTAAACTAGTTACTTGATTCTTTCGATGTATGGTAATAGAAGAACTTTAATTTATATAAATAAATATCATACATCAGTCCGCTCGCACACAGTCTTCGAAGGATTTTGAAAAGTATCCTTAGAAGTAATAGCGAATTCACGTGCTTCTGGCATTACTCGTGTTTACCAGCCGGCTACCATTCACCATCAGGCGAGCTTTGTGTTTCATTAAAAAACCGCAAATAATAATGAACTCACTAAAAGCTTATCCATTTTATATGTTGTATGTTCTATAATTCACAACATCCATTGACAGGGCGACACAGAAAGCAACATGTACAACTCTAAGTTGTCGGTCTCTGGGCCAAGGGAAGCGCCCCGCATGGTCCGACCGATGTCCCGTAAAGACATCTTCTACTCCGGTTCGGTGCTCAATCTACCTCAGTACCAGAGTCAGAAGTCTCTACAAGGATACAGGAATTCCGTGCTCAGCCTTCCACAGAGCAGGCAGACCGGGGACCTGGAACGACAAGAACGTGAGTATCGAAATCGCTCCTCACTTATATATTTTTAGGTATGGCAATTTGAGACGTTAATGTTGCCAGTACTGAGTTTTAAAAAATCTTCACGTACGTAAAATTGAAAAGGAGCATAATGGTGTGGTGTAGGAGAAGACAAACTTGTCCCGTCTCACGGTGTCCCGCCATGTCTTCGAAAACTACTCAGTCAACAATGAATAATTATTAAAACATTTTTTTTCTAGCAACATTATATATTCTGTCATAAATGTGAAATGTCAAAAAACATTTTTAAATAGGATTTTTTTTTCTAGAAACAATATTTTTTTGTCAAAAACATCAAATGTCAAAATAAAAAGTTTATATTTTCAGAATACGACCTCTGTCCTTGCCTTCACTTGCCGAATTCGTTCAAAAGCGCGTTGTCTTCAATGCTGGATGTAAGCCTGCTGAAGGACCCCGCCTTCATGCTCATCGGCGTCTCCAACATATTCGGGATGGCCGGACTGTACGTGCCCTTCGTGTACCTCACGGACGCAGCCAAAGTTAACGTAAGTGCGCAAGGGCCCGAAACAATAATGAAATATTCAACTGAGGTAAAGGGAAAATATTAACAACAAACTAATGCGCCGTGGCGGGTAGCCATCATACAAACGCATCATACAACAACATTCGGACCGTCGATCTACCGAGCAATATTACCGGCTTGGTGGAAGAAATTACCTACCACGTTAAAGTTTCCACATACGCCGCCTCGTCGATAAGTGGTCAGTGCTAGTGATTACTGCACCGCTGGTCCAGGTTTGATTCCCGATTACAGTCGAATTTCTTTGTCAATTACATTAAACTGTATTTAGGGTTCTGGGTCTGGTTGTAATTGTAACTGTCTTGTATCCCAAAAAAAATAATAAAGAAATACCTGGCATTGAGTCCGTGCGGTATAGAATATTAATATTTTTTTACCAATTCAAACTTAAACTTGTCATTTCTCTACGTATAACAAATAAGATAGTGAAAAAAATCACGCAAAAAGAAAAGAAGAAGCGCCTAAGAATGCGCATTTGAATATGAAGATCGAAGAAAAATATAAATTCGTTGACAAAGAGAAAAGTGATACGAAACTATTTTCTCTTTGCCTATTTTACATTCATTTGATTAAACGCTGATTATATTCCAGGGCATAGAACCGTCGCAAGCATCGTTCCTGCTGTCTANAAGATAGTGAAAAAAATCACGCAAAAAGAAAAGAAGAAGCGCCTAAGAATGCGCATTTGAATATGAAGATCGAAGAAAAATATAAATTCGTTGACAAAGAGAAAAGTGATACGAAACTATTTTCTCTTTGCCTATTTTACATTCATTTGATTAAACGCTGATTATATTCCAGGGCATAGAACCGTCGCAAGCATCGTTCCTGCTGTCCATAATCGGTATAACGAACACGTTCGGCCGTATCATATGCGGGTGGGTCGCAGACTTCCCCTGGATGGACTCCTTGATGCTGAACAACGTGTGCCTGGTCATTGCCACGGTGAGATAACGATAAAAAATTTAAATAAAATTATCGTAATTAAATAGAAGTCGTCGTGGCCTAAAGGATGAGACGTCCGGTACATTCGTATGTAGCGATGCAACGATGCTCGGATCCCGCGGGCGGGTATCAAGTTTTTCTAACGAAATACGTACTTGACAAATGTTCACGATTGATTTCCACGATGAAGGAATAACACAACGATTTATCTTGTTGAGTTACGTCATTTATGAGTCTACGAATAAAATTGAAAGAATTTCTCGAGGCATAAAAATTAACAGTTTATTGGAGGTGGAGTGGGCGCAGCTAATTTTCTCTTCCATTCTCTTCTATCAGCCGTCATCTCCACTCTCTCTCTCAATCCATGTCTTCTTCGGTCGACCTCTTCCTTCCTCGTCATTTCCGTACATCTCCTAGTCATATGCATCTTCTTTGTACACTTCACATGTCCATACCACGCTAACCGTCCGCTCTGTAATTTGTTTGAGAAAATGACATTCTGTGATTCATAAATATCAATTTTTATTTCAGGTTTCTGTCGGTGTAACGCCCCTGTGCACCACGTACAGTGCCTACGTAGTGATTGCTATAACTTTTGGGATTGCTATTTGTAAGTACTAAATGGTCTGAGAGCTTAATGATTTCTAGAAATGATAAATGAATAAATAAATAAAAAGGATTGTGTGGTTTTATGAAACCACGGGAAAAGTGAAACTTTTTTTCACATTATTAAACTCTGACAAACAACATTTACACTAAACACTGACAAAAACAAACAAAATAACGTGGAGCACTGGCAAAAATGAGTAATAGTCTATACACAACACGGTCAGTTGCTGCGAACTATAGGCGCCGCCATATTGGCCTTGGTTGCTCTGACGAGCGCCTTTCACTTTGTCCCTACTCCGCGGCCGACCGTCACGCGACATGCAACACATAGACGAAAAAGTTTGAGACAATGTAATAAAAGTTTCACTTTAAAAAACTTCAAGTCCGCGCTCCATCTTTTAATATCAACGTAATAAGTCTATTGACGTTTGTACGATGACGTCATAGACGAAACAAAGATCTGGCAATAAATACGTATAGATATAACTTGGATGTTTGTATGACTTGATCACGACTTATACGTTAGCTAGTGTTGTTGTTACCAGTGATTTTCCTCACTACTGAGGGTCGTGACTCTCCCGCTGCATCATTCTGTCATGTAATTGTCCTCCGTCTGCTGCGATCCTCGACTTCGTGGGGTATATTGTGGAGCTTGATATCCATACAAGAATGAATTTGGTTCGACCATCTTGTGGGACTGCGTCATTTGGGACCTTTTCCCTCGATCTTGCCTGTCACCATCAACTGTTCAAGATTGTGACCCTCCTTTCGAGCAATGTGTTCAAAGAACTACAGCACTCTGCATGGGCTTAATATAAAGTTCTTGTAAGGCAGTCGCAAGGAATCTGCAGCCATTTTATCCATTAAGGTCTGATGATATTTTATCACTCGAGAAAGTTCGACGGACTGCCCCAATCCAGGATCGTTTTTTTACGGTGGTTCTGGGTTCCTGGGAGCTAATGAAGGTGTTTATCTGGCGACCTTGATTAACACAATTGTATATGAATAGCCGACTTATCGAAAATAATGGAATACGTGTTATTTTCTGGGAAGAAAAGTAGCCAATGTGTGTGTGTGTATGTGTGTTGTAAAATGTTTATATTTAAGAAATATTTTCCGAATCTATCAGTTAAAGTATAGGCGTGGTCGTAAAAATACAATGAACGTGAAATTCATAAAATTTGCGAATAATAAAAATGAAATTATTCATATAAGTAATCTATACTTATATATAAATCTACAGTGGTTTTTACGGATGTTCCGTTATAACTACTGAACCATGCATCCGATTGACTTGAAACTTGGTATCTGTTTAGAAAATACATGTACTTAGTGGATAGGCTAATATTTATATGAGTGTTGGACTCCCTACACCAGTTGCGGAGGCATTAATGATGAGAATCTTTATGGGGGTGAGAAATAATAATGTTAATTTTAAATGCCCGGCGAAGCGGACGGGTACAGCTAGTTAAGTAATAAAAATGTTGATCGGATTAATGATATACCGAACGTGTTTGGGTGCAGCCGGCTACATCTCGCTGACGTCGATCATCCTGGTGGACCTGCTGGGTCTGGAGAAGCTGACGAACGCGTTCGGGCTGTTGATCCTGTTCCGCGGCGCCGCGGCCATGGTGGGCTCCCCGCTGGCCGGCGCCGTGTTCGACGCCACGGGGACCTATGGACCCTCCTTCTACATGGCCTCCGTCTTCTTCCTGATTTCGACCTTGACCTCGTTCGCCGCACCTTTGTTCCGCAGGTAATTTGTGAAACTACCCTACCCAAGAAAAATGAACTGTTAATTTTTTTTAAGGGACTTTATGACCTGGTAACTAAGACCTTTAGGTCAAGTCTTATTTTAATTTATATGCTCTGTTTTATGAAAAATGATAATATGAAGTGAAATGAATTGAAGTTGATTAATATGATCCATGGCATGAAATGAAGTGAAATGACTTGAAATGAGATGAGATGATATGGTATGAAATATAATCTCAGTAAAATGGTGGTCATTTACGCTCTTCGCGCTCCCGCCGAAAAGTCATGTTAATTTTTATGGACTGTTAATTGTTTAATATCTATGATAGTGCACAAATGTGGGAAAATGAAACAAAGTCGCCTGGACGTAACTTCTCGGGATCCTCCAAAAAGTCCACTGAAAAAATCTCAGTAAATAACCACCAATTTATTGAGATTATATTTCATCCCATATCATCTCATCTCATTTCATATAATTTCATCTCAGTTGATTAATTTGAATTACCCTAGTTTATTATTATTCATAAACGGTAAATAGTTAAAACGGCGAATTATAAAAATCTTAATACTTGACGCTGGTTAATGCCCAAACCGTGTCGGAGCCAAAAAATAAAGAAGAAAATATTAACGTTTCATCAATAATCTCTCGTTCTCATGAATTTGGTACACAACTGATTTTTAAGTAAACGTATTATGTTGATGATTTTAGAAAACAAGAGGAGATACCGCAGCCGTTAGACGTTTTGACTCCCATAGACGAGGATCTAGAGGAGGGTGACGAGGAGGACCCCGACGACACTCCCATCACGATGGGAGCGCAACTGGCGAGCCGCACTCCCGCCATCACCCGCACGGCTGCCTCTCCCTCCGACCCTCCCTCCCCTACAAACAACGAACTGCAGCAAAGGGAAAGCGTGCTCTAGGGCTCACCTCAACACCGGCTGATTCGCACGAGAGCTTCTCGAATACGACGCAGATTATCACTAGACTATAAAAATCTAATCAATCGAACCATAAACAAGAAAATGCCTACTCAAGGTATCCTCTTTTTGACTAACGGAGCTTGCAGCGCTGGGGTAAATCTTTCTGACAATATCCTGACGGTCGTATTCAAGAAACTATCATTGTGTATGTCATGCCTGAGGCCCTAATCTTAGTATTCAAAAGGCTGTCCACGATGGTTATATATTATATACGAAAGCCTCGTAAGGACCAGAATCTTGTTATTAACAACACACCGACAACTACTATTTTACAAAAAATCTTTTTTTTTTTTCTAATAGAATTAAAAAATTGTTAGGGTAACGACAATTAATGTAATTCGTTGATAATTATGAATAGAAATATCATATGCTTTGATACAACTATGCTAGATAAATAAAGGAGAAAAATCAATTGTAAACTGTTGTATTAAAACATCAGAAATACGTGAACAAAATTCTGGGGATTGTAATAGTGTGCTCTGTCTCTTTCCCACACTGTGAATACGGGATGCATGGAACGTGCAGGGCGTCACGTAACGTTTTAAAATGGTGTGCTCTATCTGTAATTTAAATTCTTGTCGATTCCCTTCTTTATTCTATTTATTCTATGTTCTTTAACAAATTTAAATATATTTGTGCTTAGATTTTCATACGACACAAAAATCAAATCAACTTGCTTAACAGTTCAGAATAAGTAAAACTTTTTTGGTCTTTACGAGGATATATTTTTGAGGGTTGATTAGTTTGTTTATATCGACAACAATGAAGCCTAAAAAGTCCGTGAAACCTTCGATGACGCTTCTCGGCAAAGTAAGTACTTTAATAGATCTCATTCCTACGAGAATATTCGTTGAAGGTATTTCGAGACGGTATATTAAATATATAAATTTGTAAAGTACTTAAGAACGTAAAATGTCAACACGATTATTTATTTTTTCATGTATAATAAGTGTTGCTATAAAACGAATAAATTTGAAAATTGAAAAAAAAATGTTACCATAGATTTTTAAGAATAGAGTAAACCGGAATTGACTGCGGGTGATAAAACTGATGGCACCTTGCATTTTATTGACACGGCAGTTCTTACGACGTGCCATATTATCTATTAGTCGTGCGTGGTGCTAACTCCATACAGAAACTATGAATAATATAGTTATTACTCAAACAAAAGGACTGATTTCCAACAGATTGNAAAAAAAAATGTTACCATAGATTTTTAAGAATAGAGTAAACCGGAATTGACTGCGGGTGATAAAACTGATGGCACCTTGCATTTTATTGACACGGCAGTTCTTACGACGTGCCATATTATCTATTAGTCGTGCGTGGTGCTAACTCCATACAGAAACTATGAATAATATAGTTATTACTCAAACAAAAGGACTGATTTCCAACAGATTGTCCAAAAATAGCAAATTACTTACTTAGTACTTAGCGTTTAAATCATTTTTAAATAGAAGCTTTTAAAGAATAGCTTGTTGTTTGGTAACCGACAATAAAGTTTGTTCTCAAAAAAAAAAAAATACACAAACGTTTAACCTTCTCTAATGAAATCACTGTAAATATATACACAGTTGTAAATATTGCAGATTTAGGCTGTTTGGAAATTTAACTATATAGCGGTGTAAAAATTTAACTTCAATAACAAATAGATAGGCTACTTCAAAATATACCTTTTTGTCCAAATTTTAGGTAACATTTATTGTACTATATTATTTTTATCTACAATGCTTTATACTGAACTCTATAACGCTTTTTCTATTGCCCTTTTGACGCTTTACGAACGTAGCTTATCTATTATATCCTTATTTTTTATATTATTTTACTTCGATGATATTTAGGTAAGACAGAAAATTAATTGACGATTCTTAATCCTTGTGCCATCGAACGAACAATCGTTGTACATAATGTACTTAGTATTAAATAAATAAATATATAAATAGTAACGCAGTCAATTTTCTGTGCACCATTCAATACCAAAACATGATATTTTATTTTGATAATTATAAGCGTATGGCTCGTACTTGCCACGTAGAGATGTATATATGTTATATCGATATATTTTTGTCACAGATATTATAGTATCGATGATTGCATAATTTTAGCTTTAAGCGTTAATTTTATTTTGTGTATAGATGAAATAAAATATAGCTGTAAGGAAGGTATTATGTGATACGGATAAAGTTTTGTTTATTATATAAATGTATTTCATTAAAACATAAGTAAAAGAAATGTACAATTAAATATATAGTGAAACAATTGTGAGAGAGTGCATTAATAAAGTGAAAAAAATAATATTAAAAATAGAATGTTACTGTTGTTATAGCTTTACATGAAAACCAAAAGTGTTATGTTTTTAAGATAAAAATGTATTCGTTTCTGAAGGAATAATGTAATTAACCGAATCACATAAAATGTATTGTCATTGTTAGTTGGCGCGTTCTATCGATTTAATCAGAATCATGTTATTAAAAAAACTTTTAATTGTGATTAAACAAAATTTGACAACAGTCAAATATGAAGCCATTGTGAACTTATCGCGTTATAGTGACTGTCAAGTATCGATATCGATATTAGGGAATGTCGATTTGAATGAGAAAAAAAATATATTGAGGGCCCAGGGTAATCGATATAACACCTTGTAATTTATTATGAATGCAAATTATACGTGAAAGTAATTTATAATCAACAAGTATAAATCGATCCTTTATGTTCAGCGTTCGCAATTTTATTCTTTTAACGGAATTCGTGCAATCGTTTCACAATCTTGTCAAACGACTATAGTTTTTTTTTTATAACCAAAAAGAAATACTTAGGCCATATGGAAAACTTCTTGTATTGTAAATGAATATATAGAAATTATGATTATTTTCCGATGACTTAATAATTCTTTTAACATCGTGACAGTTTCTAATACTTCAAAGTCACGAACCAATAGGAGATTCGGTGATCTTTGTAAATGGCGACGCTTTATGTGTCTTATTTGTATAAGTTCTCGAGCTATTTTGTTGAAATAAAAGCAACTTGTAGTCTATTGCGATTGGTTTGAAATTCCTTCGAACAAATTGCATTTTTTTTATTAATTTGTCGTGTGTATTTGGTATAATTAAGAATGATTGTTTATGAAAGCGAAATCGAGAAATGAAGTTGTTAAAGCTAAACAATATGGCCTCTGGACAATTACACCAAAAACTTAAATTAATTTCTTATGAATGTATGTAAAGTTGAGAAATTCGAACTTTTTCTAAAGTTTGTTAACGAGGGCTCAGAAGTGCTCGCGATTGACATGTTCAGTGTTAATGGTGTGAGCTATAGTTACCCTTATGGACCATTTGCTCATATAGCGTATGCCATTAACAGAAACACGTCACTCGTTAACTGAGTTAACACGGCTATTTTTTGAGGTAGATTTTTAAGGGCTGAAGTAATAATAGAAAATAAAATGAAGGCTTACATTTCAAAATGTATTTTCAGTATTGGCTCAAAGTATTTAAATATCGAGCTGTCTATATGAATAATTTGTGATTTTAGGTAATTATTTTTGTTGGATTTCAATCTAAGGCTTGCGTATTTTATTCTGTATAAAATAAACAGCTCCTGTGACCAACAATTAAAATTTGGATACATTACTGAATTATTTACTTCGACAAATACCATATGACGTTTTTAAACAGATTGCCGTCTGCAATACAATCAAAAAATTTAATAATTAATTTTATGATTCAAAAGAAAATGTTTATTATTTTTTATACCAAATAATGTATTAAAGCCTTTTAAAGTTTGTTGAGAACAGCGCACGTGTTTGCTTGCATCAATAGACAAATTTGAAGCTTGATGAATCCACCGAAATGTTTTGTAAATAACATTAAATGGCGATGACGACTGAAATTATTTGTTTTATTTATATTCCTAAACATTTCTTCTTATTCGTTGGTCCAGGACTTTCTTTTTTTAAGCAAAAAAGTGGTTAGATCCAAATTAATAGCATACTCCGATGAGAACATCGTGTTTTCTAATAGGTCTAACCTTCACTTTTTTTCCTACTTGTTCTAGTACCCTCGAGCTGTTATTCTAGATTCACCGAACTAGTAGGTGAGCTCTCGGGGCTCAAACCGGGAGTGTTGCTAACACTGGCCCTAGCAAGAGCAGTGCTTCGCAGAATCTACCACCGGATCCGAAACGCGATCCAATGAGAAGATCCGGCGAGAAAATCAGTGGGCTGTGTCTATGGGCTAATTTACTCGTCGAGTCCTTCGCCGCAAGCGACGGGTTCGGCGAGGACGGTGACCGATGCTTGTGGTACCTAAAAGCACAGTTGATGAATCGGGAGTATCCGTAATGACGTGTTTAGGGCGACGTCGACTGTTTACCATTCGGTCCATCGGATCGGGTATGTAACCTTGACAATTGAGTAATATTCATATTAGTGGTCAAGTAGGACATCGTATTCGACAGCTTCTCTTCGGTTGCCGCTAGGAGCGCTGTTCCGACTCCATTTTTACGCGATCGAGAAGTTAAAAAACACGCACTAAGCAAACTGGTTCATTATACCAACCATAGTTCTATGTCGCATTTTCCGTTTTATATAGTTATTTAATTTACCCGGTTTAATGAAAGAACAAAAATGTGCGACATAGAGATTTCAATTTCTTAATGGTTATAGAGCTTTTTTGGAGCAATGTACCACAAAATAAAATAATATACCTAATTATGGTGACCATGGTTTTTTACAGCCTAGTTTGTGTTCGCTAGGACAAATAACAAATAATGCCAAAATGGTAATCGTACCTTTTACAAATCGAATTCAGACTTAAGCTTTGGGCTTGACGATGTTGTGGTAATAAAGTACTATTCAATATTAAGTTAATATTTTCAGTCTTTGTCTGGGGACCACAGAATATCCGGTTTATTTTTCTAATTGTTGCAGGATGCATTACAAATGTTCGCTTTTCCTTGATAGATAATCTATTCGCTTTTTGATTCGACTTCTAAATATGTAATTAAATAACGTAGCATACCAATGTTGTCTGTTTATTAGGTAAACAATTAATTAGTTCGCCCTACTTACTGGAAACGTGTTATCGAAGAACATTGTTTGTTATTAATTCAACAAAACAATTTGCGTATGTCCGCAATTGCACATGTGATTATTGTTTCCACTTATTATCTGTATTATTTAATTTATTCGAATGATGAAATAAAAATTGTAAGCATGTTAGAGATCATTTATTTAGCAGCGAGCATTCTTTTGTTTTTTATTTGTTGCTAAGATGGGTGGACAAGCTCACAGCCTACCTAGTGTTAAGTGGTTACAGGAGCCCATCTACAACTTAAATGCGCCACCCACCTTGAGATATAAGTTCTAAGATCTCAGTATAGTTACAACAGGTACCGCACCCTTCAAACTGAAACGCATTACTGCTTCACGGTAGAAAATAGGCGGGGCGGTGGTACCTACCCGTGCGGACTCACAAGAGGTCCTACCACCAGTAATTACGCAAATTATTATTTTGCGGGTTTAATTTTTATTACACGTTGTTATTCCTTCACCGTGGAAGTAAATCGTGAACATTTGTTAAGTAAAAAAAATCGAACACCGGTGCATCGCTAGATACGAATGCACCAGACGTCTTATCCTTTAGGCCACGACGACTTCTTGGTCAGTTTTCTTATGTCAGATAATTCAGTCAATCTACGCTTTTAATTGCTGTCGGTCAGGGATATCTAGGCTAGATTTTCTTACTGATATTTTATCCTGGCTATAGATACTCTTATAAAAGAAACAATATAAAATCTGAGTTTGAAACCTGTCATACTCATGAATATTCTTTAATCATTGGGTTTTCTCAACTGCTTGCATCAAACTCCATATGTTAAATATTGTTATGAAACTAAAACGGTGTGGGGTTCTAAGCAAACCGAATTTTTGTGGGAAGAACCTGTCATTATATTTATGCGAAAAATTCAAACAATTCATGTTCACCTGGTTTGGGCTTACTGGTTTTTTGATCAGTTTGGTTGGTTGCTTATGTAATTTTTACTTTATTATTGAAATACTGAAAAACTGTGACATTTTTATGAAGTAAAAGAAACACAAAAAGAAGAAAAAAANTGGGGTTCTAAGCAAACCGAATTTTTGTGGGAAGAACCTGTCATTATATTTATGCGAAAAATTCAA